ACAATACAGTGGAAGTTCTCTCCTGCTCAATATCGCACAGTACCATTGGAATTTATTTTGTCAACCTAAACAAAGAGACAGCTTCTCTGCTGAAGAAATGCAAAAACTGCAGCCCACTCTCAGCAAGGCACTTAAATAATTCAATATCAGCTAAGCCATTGAGCTTAGAATTAATCACATGTTATCTCAGAAAGGTATGTATTACTGAGGGGAGTAAGGCTGATAAAGATTGAAGGGGAAAGGGAGATAAAGAGTGATACAGACAGATGGATAGATTTAGATTTAGATTTAGATTTAGGTTTTACTGTCACGTGTACTCAAGTACGGGGTACAAGAGTGCAGTGAAAAGTGTACAATGTCGCCACACACAGTGCCATCTTAGGTACAAAGTACATAGTTACAAAATCTTAGTTATCTTCGTTAGGATAAAGAGACAGTGCAAAGGAATTCCTATTTCTTATGGTTTTATAATCAAGGGTTACGCGGATAGGGCAGGAAAGTGGATGTGAAAAGAGTCAGTCAGCCATGGTCCGACCAAAAGGCACAACAGGCTCAAGAGGCTGAATGGCCTACTAGAGTTCCTATTTCTTATAGTCTTATGGGGTTAGAAAGAGATGGAGGGAGGTAGATAGATGCATGCAGTAGCATGTGCTAAAATATCTAAAGTGTGTCTTAACAATAAGCTCTAAACCAGAAGACAAGTAGCAACACGAAATATTCAGACTGGAAGAAGGGAGACAGCAAAGTGACCTAGCTCGTAGAGTTTGCATGAGTCTTCAAGTTAATGGTATTTGCATGCGATTAACAGACTGTGATTTTGTGTTGACAGTTATTGACCTGAACAATCTATGGCAGACATGCCATAGACATGCCCTATCCCACATCAAGAACAGAACAATGCAAATACCCATGTAGTATCACTTAGCCAAAAGAGATTGTCTAGGTCATGCCTCTTTATTGTTAAACCATCCACATAGCCGTTATGTTAGATCAGGAGATTGGCCGAGAACATACTCCAATAAACATTCCGGGTGTCATGTGACACACTCAAAGATAGGTACATGGATATCAGGGAACAGCCCCTCGGTGCTCAGAACTGTCAGAGTCCAGCAAAAACAGAAATTGCTGGAGAAATTCAGGCAGCATCTGTAGAGAAAGAAACAGAGTTAATGTTTTGAGTCCAGTGACCCTTCTTTAGTTCTGAACAAAAAACAAATGCTGAAGGTCACAGCAGGTCAGGCAGTGAGAGTGCAAGCTAACGTTTTGAATTTAGAGTTATCTAGACTCGAAACGTTAGTTTGCTCTCTCTTTCTGTCCATGGATGCCGCCTGACCCACTGTGATCTCCAGCATTTGTTGTTTTCAGTACAGATTCCAACACCTTCGGTAATTTGTTCCTATCTTCTTCAGAACTGATAGCAGCTAGGAATACCACTTTTTCTTAGCTGCAGTCAGTTCTGAAGGAGTCACTGGGCTCAAAACGTGAACTCTGTTTCTCTCCCTACAAATGCTGCCAGACCCGTTGAGTTTCTCCAGCAATTTATGTTTGCATTTCAGATCTCCAACCTCCGTAAGTACTTTGTTATATTCTACAGAGGCCAAGTTTGGATCTGCAGGAAATAAGCTTGTATAAATCTAGTGTATGATTGCCAATGATTTCTGAGCAATAAACTTGAATTTGAGCAATGTGTTTGAACCTGAAACACATGAAATTATTTAACTCTCTTTAAAAGATTTTTTAACAGGAGACTAAATATGAAAGACAGAGAGGGAGAGAGAGAAAGATTGAGCAGTGTGCATTACAATCAGCTGGCAGTATGATTTACACTGTTAGATCGCAACGTTCCAATAAAACAGCCCACTCTTTATTAGATTAAAGCTATTCGGGAGCAGTACTGATTTCACAGATTAATGGTACATGAAACAGATACACCATCTACAAAACAGACCATGCAGATGGCCAAATTTTAATTAGAACAATACTGCATTAATCATTTATACTAGCAGCAGATTGTTTCAGTTCCCTCACCTCATTTGCCTCCCGTTGGCATAGCTACAGAAATGGTTATAAACACAGCAACAAAACACACAGATGAGCCTCAGGGGGAGTCTGCACAGACTGTCTAAAATCCATCAGTTCTGATCTGTCATTCAGACTGCGGTCAGGGGCGGCACAATTCAGTTTTGACAAGGGAACCACGCAGAAATATTGCGAAGTTCAAGAACAGCTCCAAAACCAATTAAAAGGTAGCTTTGCAAAGCGTAGGTGTGATGCAGAAAACGCAGCATCCTCCAATGTGCTTGCAGCAAACTCCCACAAACCTGATAATGACCAGACAGCGTTGTTTCTAGCTGGGACTGTCGGAAATTGCTTTTCAGACAGAGGGAATAGTTTTAACTCTGAGCGATATGCAAAAGTGGCAATATCCGCTCGGTCAATCCTCACATGGAACGTCATTACACTGCAGTTAATCTTCTCTCTATTATACCACTATGCAAAACTGACATTCCCTATTCATAGACCATAAGGCAGCACGGTGGCTCAGTGGTTAGCTCTGCTGCCTTGCAGCCCCAGCTACCCGGGTTTCATCCCACCCTCGGGTGCCTGTCTGTGTGGAGTTTGCACATTCTCCCAGTGTCTGCATGGGTTTCCTCTGGGTGCTCCTCCCACAGTCCAATGATGTGCAAGTTAGGTGAACTAGCCATTTGGACTTAATGGGCCAAAGTGCCTCTTCCTGCACTGTAGGGATTCTATGATTCAAATTGTTGCAGTGTAGGAGAAGGCCATTCAGCCCATAATATTAATAGGTCACACTGTCAATTGGACAATTAAGAAATATGTTCTGATAATTCAGAGTTCATAAAATTACACTACAATGCAATACACTTGCAAGCATCTGCTAACTTCAGTCACATTCGAGCGTCTCAAAAACTAATTCTGCAGGGTGGTCCTCATTTGAAATCAGGATCATAATTCATGAAAACAATGACTTTAAGTGAAACATTTTTATGTGAAGCGTGGTTTCCCATAGGAATCAATGTTAAGCCAGAGTTCAGTTCCTGTGGACAACCTTTGCCTGGAAAAGCCAATGAAAAATTGAAAATACTGTTCCAAACAGATGCAGCACCATGCATTCTTCACTGAAATAACATGCAAACCAAAACAAGGAAAGCTTCAGTGAAGCAGGAGGCAGTGGCCTAGTGGTATTGTTGCTAGGCTATTAATCCAGAAAATCAGACAATGTTCTGGGGACCCAGGTTTGAATCACGCCTTGGCAGATGGTGGAATTTGAATTCAATTTTTTTTAAAAAGTCTGGAATTAAGAATCTGCTGAGAAACCTTTGCCAAAAAAAAACTAGAGAACTATGGATGCTGGAAATCGGAAACAAAAATCACGAATAACTGGAAAAACTCAGCAGGTCTGGCAGTATCTGTAGAGAGAAAGCAGAGTTAACTTTTTGCTTCTTCAGAACTGTGACCTGTTGAGATCTTCCAGCAATTTCTGATTTTGTTTATGAAACCATCGCCTGTTGTCAAAAAAACTCATGTGGTTCACTAATGTCCTTCAGGGAAAGAAATCTGTTGTCTTCACCTGGTCTGGCCTACATGTGACTCCAGACCCACAGCAATGTGGCTGACTCTCAACTACCCTCTGAAATGGTGTAGCAAGCCACTTGGCTCAAGAGCAGCTAGGGGTGGGCAGCAAATGCTGGCCAGTTATCGATGATCACATCCCATGAATGAATTAAAAAAGCTAGCTTGCAGAGAAAGCTTTATAGTACAGTATAGATGCAGTACAAGTTCCTTTACCTATACAGGAATAGTTAAGTACTGGGGACTACAATGCAGAAGAGAATTATTTTAAAGAATTAAATCCACAGTAGTTCTTCTACCACCAGAGAAATTTAAAACAAAATTAAAAACCGAGTTCAATACCTGAACAGTTAAACAAAATAATCTTTGATTCAAGGTATTGACATACT